TGAGCCACAGCACCACTTCCGGCTTTTTTCTTTTTGCTTATGTGGTGCTGAAGAATCGAACCTAGGGTCTCCTGCATGCAAGGCAAGCGCTCTACTACTGAGCCACCTTCCCAGCCCCTCCTTAGTTCTTTCGAATACTGATGGTAATCTTGCATACATGAGGCCCTGGGTTCGATTCCTCAGCACCACATAAGCAGGAGAAAAGAAGCCGGAAGTGGTACTATGGCTCAAGTAGTAGCGAGCTATCCTTGAGCTGAAGAGCTGAGGGACAGCGCCCAGACCCAGAGTTCAGGCCCCACGACCGGAACCCCCCCCCCAAAAAAAAAAATTCATTAGTGACTCTTTTAGAAGATGAATGTCATCACATTTGGCCTTATCTCTATTTTTGCCCTAAGAGCCCACTAATGGATCTTCTGGGAAGGCTTTCAGGTGATATTTGATCTTTCTGTTCTATCTTCTATCTCTAAAATGGATTGGCAACTAGATGACTGGGCCATTTGCCTTCCCCAGACTGAATTTAGGGCATCCTCATGTTAACTTCACAAAACATATTGCAGGTCACAAACATATTCTCAAGCTTGCAGAATTCTAAATGCAGGCAGTGAAAGTGTGAGATGAAGTGCTTACCCTTCAACATTCATCTCTCCCACACACAGGAAAATAGGAGAAACCACAGGAAACAGTCTTAATAGAAGCACTTAAGAGAATACGGAAACTCAGGCCTCTGATTAGGCACTTGTGGTTCACGCCTGTAATCCTCACTACTCAGGAGGCTGAGATCTGAGGACCGCCATTCAAAGCCAGCCCAGGCAGCTCCAATAACTACTCAAAAGCCAGAAGTGTTGCTAGGGCTGTGGTAGAACACTAACCTTGAGCAGAAGCTGCTCAGAGACAGTGCCCTAGCCCAGAGTTAAAAAGAAAAAGAAAAAAATAGAAAACACAGATGGCTCTCAACTAGTAATACTACCTATACAGGAGGCTGAGATGGGAGGATAGCAGTTAAAATCCAGCTCAGGCATGGAATTAAGACTTTTGCCTCGGGCTGGGAAGGTTCAGTGGTAGAGTGCTTGCCTTGCATGCATGAGGCCCTGGGTTCGATTCCTTAGCCACATAAGCAGAAAAAGCCAGAAGTGGTGCTGTGGCTCAAGTGGTAGAGTGCTAGCCTTGAGCTGAAGAGCTGAGGGATGGCACCCAGGCCCAGAGTTCAAGGCCCATGACTGGCCAAAAAAAAAAGACTTTTGCCTCCAATTAACCAAAAAATGGGAAGTGGAGATGTAGCTCAAGTGGCCGGGCCCAATCTTGAACAAAAAAAACCTAATGGAAGCTGGGCACCAGTAGCTCAGGCCTGTAGTCCTAACTACACAGGAGGCTAAAATCGGAGGATAGTAATTCAAAGCCAGTCCAGAAGGAAAAGTCCCTAAGACTCTTATCTCCAATTATCCACCAGAAACCAGAAGTAGCTCAAAGTGGTAGAGCTCTAGCCTTGTGCAGAAAAAAGTTCAGGGACAGTGCCCAGGCCTAGAGTTCAACCCCCATGACTGACAAAAACAAAAACACAAAAGCTAAGTAAGGGACTGTTAAGTGCCCAGGCTCAGTGCTCAAGCCCAGTGTCCAAACACACAAAAACACACATCCTCCCGCCCCCACCCCCACTCCGCCACACACGCAATGGAAGATGGCTCAAGTGGTAAGGTACCTGCATAGTAAAGGAAGGCCTTGAGTTTAACAGATCTGGGAAGGGAGGGAGGGAAGGAGAAAGGAAGGCAGGAGGCAGGCAAAGCAGTTTAGCTGAGACAAACGTAATCTTGGTATATGCTGACTTTTCTCCGCTTTTGAATCTTTGAGCTGGGATTTTGCTGACTTGAAGAGCAGAGCTACTGCCTTTCACAGCACCAGGAATTTAACCTGGAACTTCTATTAACCAGCAAAATGTTGGAGGCATACTTCAATGTGTAGAGCACCAGCTGTGAGCAAAAGAATGAGGCCCTGAATTTAAACCCCAATACTAGTAAGTGCACATGCACACACGTGATCAGAGAAAACTGTTTTGTATAACTCATACACAAAAAAGAAAAAGAATCAGGGCTGGGAAGGTGGCATTGGTAGAACTCTTGCCTTGCATGCATGAGGCCCTGGGTTCGATTACTCAGCACCACACAAGCAGGGAAAAAAAGCCAGAAGTGGCGCTGTGGCTCAAGTGGTAGAGCACTCATCTTGAGCTGAAGATCTGAGAGACAGCACTCAGACCTAGAGTTCAAGACCCACGACTGAACCCCCTTTCCCCCCCAAAAAAAGCAGGCTATTGGGGCTGGGAAGGTGGCTCAGTGGTAGAATGCTTGCAAGGTTTTGATTCCTCAGCACCACATACGCAGAAAAAGCTGGTAATGGTGCCATGGCTCAATTGGTAGAGCACTAGCTTTGAGCTGAAGAGTTGAGGCCCAGAATTCAAGTCCCACGACTGACACACCCCTCCCCCCAAAAAAAGCTAGCAACATCTAAGGATCAAAATGAAAAGCTACAAAGAAAAACACCATGAACAATGAAAAGGAAAACACAAAAGACCTTGAGCGTATCATATTCAAGGAAAATCTTGACTATGGAAAAAAATCTTAAGTAGTAAAAAGGAGTAATAATTGTATATTGGCCTTTCCAGAAACCATGCAAGCCAAGAAGAAGCTGGTTTTAGTTTTAAGATGTTTGTGGTGTGTGTTTTAGACACCTGTAGCTCATGCCTGTAATCTAAGCTACTCAGGAGGCTGAGATATGAGGATCTTTTAGCTAGCTATGGTAGAAAAGTTCCATGAGATATCTTCATTTAAACAAAAGCTATTTGGCTCAAGTGGTAGAACTCTAGCTGTAAGCAAAAGAGCAGACGAGTAATAGTCTTGGAGCTTAAGACACACACACACACACACACACACACACACACACACACACACACACACACACACACACACACACACACACACACACACACACACGTACAGATGGCAAATAAGAAATGATGGTCAGCTTCTGATCACCAGAGGATTACAATTCAAAACAATGATGAAAAGGAAAATGCTGACAGAATGTGCAAGGAGCAAGAACACTCCATTTTTTTTTCCTTCCTAGGACTTGAACTCAGGGCCTGGACACTCTCCCTGAGCTTCTTTTGCTCAAAGCTAACACTCTACCACTTGAGACACGGTGCACTTCCAGCTTTTTCTGTTTATGTGGTACTGAGGAACCAAACCCAGGGCCTTCATGCATGCTGGGCAAGCACTCTACCACTAAACCATACTCCCAGCCTCTCTCCTCCATTTCTTGAGGAAATGCAAAGTGCTACAACTTAACACATTTAGTACCTGATGTATGTAAATGTAACCCTGCTGTACATCATCTCTAAAATAATAGAGTACAATTTTTCAAAAAGCTAAACATGGGCTGGGAAGTTGGCTCAGTGGTAGAGCGCTTGCCTTGCATGCCTGAGGCCCTGGGTTCGATTCCTCAGCACCACATAAGCAAAGAGAAAAAAGCCGGAAGTGGCGCTGTGGCTCAAGAGGTAGAGCGCTAGCCTTGAGCTGAAGAGCTGAGGGACAGCGCTCAAGCCCAGAGTTCAGGCCCCACGACTGGACCCAAAAAAAAAAAAAAAAAAAAAGCTAAACATACTTTTACAATGACATGTAGCAATACATATTTCTGGTATTTAAGAAAACTTGTACGTGCCAAACAAAACAAAACTTTGCCCACAGATGTTTTCTTAGCAACTTTATTTTTGATTGCCAAAGTTTTGCCAGATATAGTACTTTATACCTGTAATCTCAGCACTAGAGATGGCTGAGGCAGGAAAATTACAAGTTGGAAAACAACGTGTAGTTTTGTAAACCAAAGCCAGAACAAAGCAAAATAAATGCTGCCAAACTTGGAAGCCCCCAAGGATCTTTTAGTACTTGAATCATAAACTGTGCACATCAGACAAGGTAATACTCAGAACCAAAAGAAATCCATGAAAACACATGGACAATAAGTACACATGGCTAGATAAACATACATGCTGTATGGCCCCAGAAGTTGGGACTAGAAAAGAGGTAACGGTAGAGAAGGTATACAGGGGATGAGATTGATGGGAATATATTGTAAACATATGTAGAAATATAGCAATGAAATCCTCTTCTCTGCTGGGTGCCAGTGACTCATGCCTGTAATCCTAGCTAGTCAGGAGGCTGAGATCTGAAGATTACGGTTTAAAGCCAGCCTGAGCAAAAGAACACCCCAAGACTCTTATCTCCAATTAACCACTCAAAATCTAGAAGTAGAGCTGTGGCACAAGTGGTAGAGTGCTAACATTGAGCACAAAAAGGCTCAGAGACAGCTCCCAGCAGCTGAATTTTAGCCCCACAACCAAAAAAGCACACCAAACCAAACCAAAACCTAAATCCTCCTCTCTCTATAAAAATAATAATAATAATATAATAATAAAATATTTTTCCTTACCTCTAAGAAATACAAGCTCGAAAAAATCCAACAAAAATTAGACAATAAGCTATAAACTATGGACATATTTTTCTTTATTTCTGAGACAAGGTTCTTACTATGTAGGCCTTGGCAGCCTTGAACTCATGAAATCCTCCTGCCTCAAACATGTCTACGTTGACTCTTCAACTATACCGAACGTTCCGTTCCATCAGATTTTAAAAACAGGAGAATCTAGGAGTATATGGAAATCCTGTACTTGTACTTTTCTTGTAAACATGAAACTGCTAAAAAAAAAAAAAAAAAAAAAAAAAAAAAAAAAAAAATCTATTAATTAAGCAGGTGCGTGGCTCCTGGCTATAATACTAGTTACACAAAGCTGAGATCTTAGAAACCCAGTTCGGATCCAGCCTGAGCAGGAAAAGTCCCTGAGACTCTCATCTCCAATTAGCCACCCAAAAAAGCCAGAAGTGAAGCTGTGGCTCTCAAGTGGTAGAAAATAGCCCTGAGCAAAAATGCCAAGCCAAGAGCCTGAGGCCCTGAATTCAAACTTTAGTTCTGGCAAAAAAAAAAGAAAAAGAAAGAAAGAAAACAAAAACAAAACAGCTGTTTCCTATAATAGCTAAAACTCACTCTAGGAATTAGGAGACACTGAGCTTAGCTAGGACCCAGAACAGGAGATTATCTGCAGACTCAAAGCCAGTTGTCCTGGTAAAGATGGAGGAGGAAATTCTGCAAACATACATCCTGTTTTGTGAGAAAGCAGAAAGCCTTTGTTTGTTCTTATTTGCCTTCACACCAAAATAAATTAACATCTTGAAGGTAGTATATTTGAGATGGATTGTAGTCTCCCAAAGTATGCCTTTTTCTTTTATCTCCTATTGCAATTAATTGTTTTCAGCATCTTCTTATTCCTAAAAGACAAGTTAGAAATAATTGTAACAAAAGAAAAAGGCTAGACAAAGATGACATTCCACACTGAGCTCATGAAAATGAAGATATGACAAAGAATCTACTCCCTGGGGGCTGTGGTTTGTCTCAACACTTAAGCTTGGTTGCCCATAGCCTGTCCACACTCAGGACTCATTATCTTTATTGCAATGGGCACCATACTACAAAACACTAAGTTTGGCCCTCACAACTTAAGACATTCATTCTATAGTCTAAAATCAAAAGTGCTATTTCAGGAGACATTTCCTGGTACCTATGTGGCCATCATTCTGTTCTGAGAAAAGCCCCCAGAGCAACTGGAAAAAATTGAGGTCCTTCCTGGTCTACTCCCCTCCCAGATTCCTTTGTTAATATAAGGATCAAACATTGACATACTTCCAGTTTCTAGGTATGTTGTTGGCTCTAATTTTCACATGTTCCTATTGGCTATTTCCACTTTTAAAAAAGTCCCAAGTTACTACTTTCTAACAGGTAAAGCCATAGGTCACAGGGTCACTGGCTCACATCTTTCTGTAATTCCTAACTCTTCAGGAGGCAGAGATCTGAGGATCTTGGTTTGAAACTAGACCAGAAAGACAAATCAGAGAGACACTTATCTCCAATTAACCAGCAAAAAGCTGAAAGTGGAGGTATATCTCAAGGGTTCGTAGAATACCAGCCTTTAACAAAAATGCTCAGCAAGTGCATGGCCCTGAATTCAAATGGGAAAAATTAAATGACCTACCAAACTCCATCCCCAATAAAGTAACTTCCTCTGAAGGCCCTCTCAACGATGCAGCCATTGCTATATCCTTCAATAGCCATTCCTTCGCAGTACTATATAGTTGGCAGGAATTTTTCCTCCCATTGATCTTTGTATATAAGTGAGAATTTAACACATAAGCAGACCTCTCATTCCCCCCCCCCCCCCACCTCCCCTTTGGAACAGGTCTCTAAAACTGAGGGCAAGATTTATTTAAATCTGCTAACCACAAGACACATTTATCTGAGTTTGAGGTTCTTTCCTCTCCTATTTTGCCTGATCTATATACACCAAATTAAGCAAACAGCATGTTCACTCTCTGCCTATTTAGAAACCCAGCTTTAGTCTTCCATGTTTATAATGCTATTTAAGGGTTACCTTTTGACACATTCAGGACATAACATATTATCTTCTAGTCCTGGGGTTGGGAATAAACAGGCTGGTAACAGGAAGAGAGAAATCATTGTCTTGCGAGAGTTGGGGACCCAGGTCTGACCTGCACAAAACTGCAGGCGCACCCATCCCTTCCCATCTGCTGGGAGAAGTCTGCCATGGACTACGCACCACCTGACACCTGGGAAAGAAGAGCAGGATCAAGATTAACTCTCACCTAGCCATGTACTGTGAACAGATCATTTGAATAAGATGTGTGAAATTAACATGCCAAGTCACTTTAACTTCATATACAATGTAACACACATTGATTAATAAGTTACCTCTAGGTTTTTGCTAGGTAATTTGCTTGCATCAATATAGAGATAAATAAATGTCTGTATTTTTTCATTGCCTATGTGCAGTTAGGGATTGAACCCAGAGCCTTGTACATGACAGGCAAGTGTTCTACCACTAGGCTACCTCACCAGCCTTAATGCATTGAGACACGGTCTTGTTATATAGCCCTGGCTGGTCTATACCATTTGCCAACCCAATCCAGCTTATCCTTTTTTTTGGGTCCGGTCGTGGGGCCTGAACTCTGGGTCTGGGCACTGTCCCTCAGCTCTTCAGCTCAAGGCTAGCACTCAACCACTTGAGCCACAGCACCACTTCTGGCTTTTTTCTTTTTGCTTATGTGGTGCTGAGGAATCGAACCCAGGGCCACATGCATGCAAGGCAAGCACTCTACCACTGAGCCATCTTCTCAGCCCCCATCTTATCCTTTTTGTTAGTATGTATGTTACATAGGGTGGGGGGTGGGGACAGCAAGTCAGCCCAACATTTCCACACATGAATAACTTGGCAATGTATTCCAGTTAAGCTCAGCACCCTTCTTTCTTTTTAACATACCTCTTTTTGTGTGTGGGTGCTTGAACTTGGGGCCTCATACTCACTTGGCTTTTTCACTCAAGATTGGCACATTACCATTTGAACCACAACTATACTTCCAGCTTTTGGCTAGTTAATTGGAAATCAGTATCTCAGACTTTTTTCTGCCTGGACTGGCAATCTTAGGATCTGGCTACATTTTTAGGATCTCAATCTCCTAACAAACCTTCTTAAAACAATTTCAACAGCTTTTCTTTTTTTCAACAGCTTTTTTTTTTTTTGTCAGTTGTGGGGCTTGAATTCTGGGTCTGGGTGCTGTCCCTCAGCTTTTCAGCTCAAGGCTAGCGCTCTACCACTTGAGCCACAGCACCACTTCCAGTTTTCTGGTAGTTTATTGGAGACAAGTCTCACAGACTTTCTTGCCTGGCCTGGCTTTTTTTTTTTTAGTTTTTTTTTTTTTAATTGTAAAAATACTGTACAGAGAGGTTTCAATTACATGGGCAAGATAATGAGTACATTTCTCATCAAGCATTGTAGCCTCCTCCTTTGTTTCCCCTTCCCATCCCTTCCCATCCTCCCTGCCCTGGCCTGGCTTTGAACTGTGATCCTCAGATCTCAGCCTCCTGGGTAGCTAGGATTACAGGCGCGTGAGCCACCAGCGCCTTATTCAACAGCTTTTGTTGTTCTATTATCATACATTGCTTTTTTTTGTTTGTTTGTTTGTTTTTGTTTTTGTTTTTTTTTGGTCGGTCATGGGGCTTGAACTCGGCCTGGGCGCTGTCCCTCAGCTCTTCAGCTCAAGGCGAGCGCTCTACCACTTGAGCTACAGCGCCACTTCCAGTTTTCTGGTGGTTTATTGGAGATAGGAGTCTCACGGTCTCTCCTGCCCGGGCTGGCTTTGAACCGCGATCCTCAGATCTCTCAGCCTCCTGAGTAGCTAGGATTACAGGCGTGAGCCACCAGTGCCCGGCTTCTATTATCATACATTGCAAACAAATAACTGGGCTACATTTCCCTCCATCTTTACTCTCTTCATTAGTAAGCCCCCATTGGCATGCATACCTCAACAAAGTGCATTAATTATTAATGTTTGCTTTCTAGAACCCACCCCAAAACCCTTGTGGAGACTGAACCCAGAGCTTTTGCATGCTAGAAAAGTGTTCAACCACTGAACGATACCAAATCCTCCTGCTTGTCTCACAAGTGAGGTAACAGGTTTATGACATTAAATATAACCTTATCCAATATCAAGACATGGATACAGGTTTTCTGACCTGTAATTCTGTCACCTATCTACTTACATCACTACATTATATTCAGTCAACTTCAGAAAACAGACTGAAATGTTTGTTTAAAACAAAGTTGAGCTCACCACCCACTACCCACCAACAAATAAATAAAACCCTAAAGTTATACACACCTATAATCTTAGCAGTTGGGATTTCAAGTTCAAAACCAGCCTTGGGCTACATGTATCAAGAGGTTCTATGTGTGTGTGAGAGCATTCATATGTACCAAGTTATGTGTCTTAAGTCTCATAATCACTCTAGTGAATAGGTAGTTACAATATTTTTTATAGATGAAGATTTCCCAGATGAATTCAGTACTAGGTTCCATCCCAGAAGAACCAATAGAAAGGGAGGAAGATAAGGTAGGAAAGGTAGGTATGGTGGCTCATGCCTTGTAATTCTAGCTATTCAGGAAGCTGAGATCTGAGGATCACAGTTCAAAGCCAGCCTAGAGAGAAAAGTCGATGTGAGGCTCTTATCTCCAATTAACTACTCAAAAAACAAAGTGAGGCTGTGGTTTATTTTATTTTTTGGGGGGGGTCCGGTCATGGGGCCTGAACTCTGGGCCTGGGCGCTGTCCCTCAGCTCTTCAGCCCAAGGCTAGTGCTCTACCACTTGAGCCACAGCGCCACTTCCGGCTTTTTTCTTTTTGCTTATGTGGTGCTGAGGAATCGAACTCAGGGTTTCAGGCATGAAAGGCAAGCACTCTACCACTGAGCCACCTTCCCAGCCCCAAGGGGGCTGTGGTTTAAATGGGCAGAGCACTATCCTTGAGCAAGAGAACTCAAGAGACAGCACCAAAGCCCTAAGCTCAAGCCCCATTACAGACAAAAGAAGCCCATTCACCCATTCACCCATCATCATCCACTCCACTTATGTGAACACCTTAAGGAAAGAAAAGATTAACCAACCACATTATTAGTTTTATGCCTGCCTCTGAAATCCATTTACTAACCAATCACCTAGTTTAGAGAACTATCCCACCAAAACTATTCAGGAAGAAGAGACAAATTCTATGTGAATCCAATGATTAATGACCAAATAATGAAACATTTTGTTTGTTTTGTTTTAGCAACTGGTAAAAGTTTTTTTTAGAAAAGCACTTCCATCTGGAAGTTGATCTTACCAGGGGCCGGCAGCAAAAATGTCTCTATGGTTGACTCAGTAGGACAAAACTTCACTGTCTTGGCTTCAGGAGTTTCTGCAGCAATTCGTGTCCAAGATGCCAACATAGATGCTTGGGCAGAAGTTACTACTTCCACTATATTACCTTTCAATTCTAGGCCAGACTCATTTCCAACAGTGTCCCTGCGTGTATTGGCCTTTTCACTTATACTACTTCTTTTCTGCCGACTTCTTTCCCTCTTATAGTTGTTCTTGGAATATGGCATCATTCTGGCCTCCTTTGATGTTTTGGGAATATACTGGAAAAAAAAAAAATTCACAATGAGTATTTAGTCAGAAGTGCTCTTGCCAAGGACAAATGGAATGTTCCCACTGCCATCATTCTTTATACTGACCTGCATGTGTATCAATGAGATAGTTTAAAAATATTAGTGCTGTCTCAACTGGGAGGAAGTTTTCAGTTGTTAAAACTGAGGAGGAGGGGCTGGGAAGGTGGCTCAGTGGTAGAGCACTTGCCTTGCATGCTCAAGGCCCTGGGTTCGATTCCCCAGCACCACATAAGAAAAAAGGTGGAAGTGGCACTGTGGCTCAAGTGGTAGAGTGCTAGCCTTAAGCTAAAGAGCTGAGGGACAGCGCCCAGGCCTAGAGTTCAGGCCCCATGACCAGACCCCCCCCCCCAAAAAAAAAAAAAAAAAAAAACTGAGGAGGAGTAAGCTAAAACATGTTTTGTGGGAAGAGTCAAGGAGAGGAAACGGAGACAAATGGTTAAGAGGAAGGGTGAGCAAATATACTCATTATGCTCCATGTACTTATATGAAAATGGAACTTTGGCCGGGCGCTGGTGGCTCACGCTTGTAATCCTAGCTACTCAGGAGGCTGAGATCTGAGGATCGAGGTTCAAAGCCAGCCTGGGCAGGAAAGACCGTGAGACTCCTATCTCCAATAAACCACCAGAAAACCGGAAGTGGCGCTGTAGCTCAAGTGGTAGAGCGCTCGGCTTGAGCTGAAGAGCTGAGGGACAGCGCCCAGGCCCAGAGTTCAAGCCCCACGACCGACAAAAAAAAAAAGAAAATGGAACTTTGGGGTTACGGATATGTTTGGTGAAGACAGGGCAGGGATGACAGGGGTGTCACTGATCGAGATGAATATACTTGCTTTAAAAATGTTAGCCAGGGGGCTGGGAAGGTGGCTCAGTGGTAGAGCACTTGCCTTGCATGCCTGAGACCCTGGGTTCGATTCCTCAGCACCACATAAGCAAAAAGAAAAAAGCCGGAAGTGACACTGTGGCTCAAGTGGTAGAGCGCTAGCCTTGAGCTGAAGAGCTGAGGGACAGTGCCCAAGCCCAGAGTTCAGGCCCCACGACTGGACCCAAAAAAAAAATGTTAGCCAGGCACTGGTAGCTCACACCTGTAATCCCAGCTACTCAGGAGGCTGAGAGCTAAAGATCATGGTTCAAAGCCAGCCCGGGTAACCAGAAGTGGTGCTGTGGTCAAGTGGTAGAACATTAGTTCAGCTGAAGAGCACAGGGACAGTGCCAAGCCAGGCCCAGAGTTCAAGCCCCCACAACCGACCAAAAAAAAAATTGTTATGAAGTTGTACACAGGAATTACAATCCTGTAAATCAGGTTATGATTATAATGCTTCTTCCCTTTCTTTGTTCTCCTCCATTATTCCTCTCTTGTCCATACCCTCAAGTTAGGTAGTTCATTTTTTATTACATAATATACATTGAATACAATGGCTACATTTAATCTGATTTGGACTAAAACTCCTTTCTACAATTACTTAAATAAAAGAGTAAAAGCTGGGCACCGGTGGTTCATGCTTGTAATCCTAGCTACTCAGGAGGCTGAGATCTGAGGATCATGGTTCAAAGCCAGCCTGGGCAGGAAAGTCTGTGAGACTCTTATCTCAAATTAACCACCAGAAAACCAGAAGTGGCACTGTGGCTCACATAGTAGAAAACTAGCTTTGAGCTGAAGAGGTCAGGGACAGTAACCCAGGCCAGTTCAAGCCCCATGGCAAACAAAAGTAATTTTCTTTTTAATGTGACTGAGGAGGACCAGGGGCTGGTGGTTCCCACTTGTAATACAGGAGAGAAGTATGGTTCAAATAAGCCAGGCAGAAAAATGTCTAAGACTCTTACGTCCAATTAACCCGCAAGCAGCTAGAAGCGGTAAGAGTTAAGGGAAGGGATGACATCGTCCAAAAATAATTCTCTTTACTCGATTTACCTAATTGTATCCACTGTGTATTTCACCTTTATAATAACAATTTTAAAACATTTTAAAGAACTGGGAACAATTAACATGTGGGTCCAGTGACAGAGGGTCAGCCTGAGTAAAGAAGCCAAAAGAGCCCTAGGGTTCAAGCAGCCCTATACAGCTCCCCCTCCACAAAAATATCTACATTGGGTAGGATCTTAATACTAGGAAGGCTGAAACAGGAGGACCTTGAGTTTGAGAAAGCAAAGCTAGCAAAGCCCTGGCTCAAAAACAGAAAATAACCAGAAAAACCTGGAGGTAGGGGTCAGGTGACTGCTTCTAAATACCCGCCATTACAACAAACCCATCTCAAATAGCAAAACTATATTTGGCCCCTAAATGTTAATCATCTTACAGTTGAGAAACCTGCTTTAGAGATCAAGAACACTATTAGCAAAGTAGGACAACCCACCAGGACCACACAGCTCCACACTGCCACCAGACTCACTCACATTTTGTTGTTCGGGATATCTATGCTTCAGGAGCCTCAAATACACTTCTATTTTCTAAGGAAATTAAAATGGAACACTGTAAGTAAAATGCAGACAAAGGTTCCCTTACACCCACACCGAGATTCCCATCCACGCACTGACCTGGCCATCTGTACTCAGGTTAAATTGTTGGCACCAGTTACGCAAGGCATCACGAGACACCTCAGTAATAGGAGGCAAGACAGCAGGCAATGGATCCACGGGCTTTTTCCAACGAGTTCTCAAGGAATTGTTGTCATTTGTTTGTGGAAGATCTGAAAGAAAGAATGGAACTAAACGAGTAAGCACTTAGCCTGTGGTGTGATTCATTAAAGATTGCCTCACATTTTCACGAGCTAGATTGCATATGTATGTATAATTTTTTTCTCATTTTTAAAGTGAGATACTAAATTCAGGAATAAAATACTCAAAACTGGTCTGGGAAGGTGGCTCAGTGGTAGAGCGCTTGCCTCGCATGCATGAGGCCCTGGGTTCTATTCCTCAGCACCACATAAGCAGAAAAATGGCAGAAGTTGGCGCTGTGGCTCAAGTGGTAGAGTGCTAGCCTTGAGCTGAAGAGATGAGAGACAGCACCCAGACCCAGAGTTCAGGCTCCACAACCAACTAGGGAGGGGGGACGAACCTCAGAACTATTTAAAATAGCCGATTTGGGACTATAAAGTTAGCTTGGCTTTTTATAGTTTTGGACTACCATCTGGTTAGAATAATAGGCTGGAGTTTTGCTCCAAAATGGCAGCTTTTGGATAGCAAATATCATTTGCCCATACAGAAATCAAATTAAACCACTCCTATATTCTAGCCCAGACCAGCCACATGACACCCATTTTTATTAGCCTGACTTGCTGTCCTGACATTTCACTTCTTTCTTACAAATAGTTCTAGTTACTTGTAGTTACTTCTTGAAATGCATTGTGGGCCCAGAAATATCTGTGAAGCACTGAGAATAAATTCAAAGTGTCGTGATGTAAGAACTGCTAGATATTTGCCATTGTAAGTAATTACTTCACCAAGGGAAATACTAGGTATTTGCTATGATGATTATTGCCAAGAAGTACTGTATCTGTATCGTTAACTTTAAGTCAGAGGGAGAAAACCAGGTGCTTACATCTGCTAAACAAGCCTTTTTCCATGGAGGTATACCTTGGCTCTTTTTCGAATTTAAAATTGATGGTACTGGGGTTTGAACTCAAGGACACATCTCTCTGCCTTGGCTTTTTGGATCAAGGCTAGTTAGTGTTCTACCACTTGAGTTATGCCATTTTCAGCCTTTCTGGTGGTTGCTTGGAGATATAAAGTCTCAGACTTTTCTGCAAAGGCTGGCTTTGACTGCATTCCCCAGATTTCAGCTTCCTGAATAGCTATGATTATAGGCATGTCACTAGTGTCCAGCTTTTTTTGTTTGTTTGCTTATTTTGGTGGTTGAACTGGGGTTTGAATTCAGGACTTTGCATCCACTTACTAAGCAGGCATTCTACCTACCATGTAACCCACATCTCCAACCCCCTTCACATAATTTTTACAGAAGAGATTGAACTTCATTCATGGTTTGGGAATGGAGCATTCCTTTCCCTGCCCGCATACCTTTGTTATTCTTCGGTGTCTCTAGGTTGAGATTGCCTGCTGTTGGAACATTGGATTGCATAACTTCTTCAAAAGGCTCCTCTGTAACTGGGACAAGTGTTAAAACCACACTTTCTTCATCTAAGTCATCTGGAAACAAATTCTGGAAAAAAGAAGAGTCACGACTTCCAATTGATGCAACTCTGCTAAGCTGGTTTGGTTTTGTTTTTGTTTTTTCAATGCTGACACTGGGGCTTGAACTCAGAGCCTTATACATTTGGTTGGCTTTTTAACTCAAGATCAAGGTACCACCACTTGAGCCACAGCAGTTCTTAAAGTTTGCTGGCTGATGGGAGAAAAAGTCTCAGACTTTCAGTTGGGTGGCCGTGGCTAGTGCTTGTAATCCTAGTTACTCAAGAAGATCATGATTTAAAGCCAGTTCCAATTAGCCACCAGAACTGTGTGGCTCAAGTGACACAATTCTAGCCTTTAACAAAAAAAGCTCAGAGACGCAACCCACAACCGGCACAAAAGCAACAAGAAAGTCCTAGTGACAGCACCCAGGACTGAGTTCAAACTCCAGGCCTAGAGTGTATGCACACCCACACATAAAAAGAAAAACTAGGGCTGGGGAGGTGGCTCAGTGGTAGAGTGCTTGCCTTGGCATGCATGAGGCCCTGGGTCCAATTCCTCAGCACCACATAAGCAGAAAATAAGCCGGAAATGGTGCTATGGCTCAAGTGGTAGAGTGTTAGCCTTGAGCTGAAGAACTGAGGGACAGCGCCCAGGCCCAGAGTTCAGGCCCCATGACCGACAAAAAAAAAAAAAAGAAAAACTGAATTTTTATGTATCATTAGTCAGAAGAATCTGGATTCAAGCTCTTGTCAATTTCATGCATACAAACAACAATGCCAGTTACCTATTGGCCCATTCATGCTGCAGATTGGTTTGCTTATAGAAAAGTCATCAATGGCTTGTCATTGCTAAACACACAAAAATTATCCTGAAACTTGTGTGGCACATCCAAGGAAGGGAGGAGTTTTACCTCTTTTTCCATGTTCTAGCTGTGGTAGACACAGGACACTTAGCACCAAACAGAAAACCAAGTTATTATTTTTTGCTCTGGTTTCAGTTAGCCAGTGAAGGAAAGGTAATATGGAAAAACTGGCGGCAGGAAGCAACTAATAGATAGGTGTTCTCTGAATCTCCCCTTCATAACCCTCAGGGTATAGTCCAGTAATTCACCCTAGAAGTGACAAAACAAATCTCAGAAATTCAGTAAACAATGCCTTCGAGGAAGGCATCTTTGAGGGTTGTCCTGACCCTTGCTTTTCCTCTCAAACCCAAGGAGAACAAATTCCACTCCCGCCAACAGTGACACCCTCACGGGTCTCATGCCCTGCCTGCTCCTCCCTTTCCTCCGTTTAGTCTCTCCAATGGCTGCCTGCAGCCCCAAGCTATCTGCATGCAATTAGTGACTTTTTTTTTTTTTGCATTTGTATATCACTTTCTCAAAGTCTGGGCGACATCAATTCACCCTGGTTAGCTTAAAACAAACAAGATGTTGACCTTGTGAAACTCCAGAAGGTAAGTGGGGCTTAAAAGGCAGCCTTCTCTGAGCTGTATACCTGAACGCTGGGCAATTCAACTATGACTGTCTGCTTCTGACCACCATAATTTGACCAGCGACAATGGGCTCTGCTTCTAACTACTGGAGGAAAAAGAAAAAACCCTGTTGATAACTTTATCGTCTCACTTATCCATTTCTACTTTTTTTTTCTTGTTAAGTCTTAGCTCTCCATTTCTTCACCGTTCTTCTCCTTCCTACATGTAAATGCTTTCCGTGGGAGTAGGAATCCAAAACTTACTTCTTTTGCCAGCCACCCAAATATAGAATCGACCATGTGCAAGTTAACCATCCATTGCAAAAGGAGATGTCCCAGAAACTACTTGTAAGGGAATGAAGTAAGGTTTAGGATAAGGAAAGATCTTGAAAAGCAGTTTGATGGGGGGAGAGGGGGGAGTAACTTGATTAGAAACAAACAACAAAAAAAAAACCTACCTTGTCCTTGACGGTACAGTGATTTGAATTTGACATTTTCGGGGCAGACCAGCCAGACACTCACGGTACCTGCGCTTTACTTCCTTTAACCTGAGCCTTTCCTGTCTTCTCCTTTTATAGGCAAATGTCTCCGGCTTCCTGTTACCGAGAGGGGCTTCCCCTCCTCCGCGCCGCGCTGCCCAATCTCGTCAGATCTGCAAGTCTATTGGGTGACCTTTCAATGATTAAGTAATTAGTATAAGTCCAGATCCCTTTAAAAAAAAAGATTAAAGACTTATCTTTATCCCTTTTAAAGTGAAAGTTGGGAGCAAAGGACTAGAAACAAGTGGTGGCTCACCAGTTCCAATTGGATAAATGGAATGTTCTGGAAAGACTTGGGAGAGCTTTTGGGGCTAGATGAATGGGTTTACTGGGGCGCCTGTGGCTCAAATCTGTAAGCCTTTCAACTCAAGAGGCTGAGATCTGAGGGTTTGAAGTCTGCTGAGACAGGAAAGGCCTTGAGATTCGAACCCTCCCTGATAGGCATCAAAAACTCAAGTGATAGAAAACTAAACTAAGAGATTGTACCCAAGCTCTGAGTTCCAGTCCCATCATAACTAAGTACTTAAGTACGTAAATGAATAAGGTTTACTTAGAAAATGTGTCGCTGATTTTAGGCAAGCATTTTAGAACGCTTTTGTACACGTGGGTGTGGGACACGCTAGATTTAAATTGTGGGGTACTTAGGTCTTATCTGTCGGCTACTGTTCTCAACTCAAGAATTTAGCCTTCAGCAATATTGAGAGGAGGAGGAGGAGCAGAAAGAGGCTAAGTTTGAGCAAGCAGGTGATAGAATAATAGGGCAGAAGAGACAGCAGACGCTGGGGGTTGCTGGAGCCCTATGCTGGAGGCCCCTTAACCCTGATGAAGAATTTTCCTAGGTCATCCAAAGAACCTGGAGCTAAGGGGAAAGGTCACTCACAAACCAAGTTACAACACACTGGCCACAGTGTGCTCACAGAGGACTTTCTCTCTCCCTGAGAAATTAACTTCCTCCAGTAGTTTTGTGCTCCAATGGGCCTGAGGTCAATTTAACTTAAGAATACAAAATATATTCAAAAACATACAGACGGAAGGGGTGACATTGCTTAAGATGCATTATACTTATGACTAGATTAGTTGAACTGAAACTCCTAGTCACAGTACAAGTGCTTAAAGGATAGTAAATAAGCCAGGTGTCTGTAATCCTAGCTACACTGGAGGCTGGGATCCAAGGATTGATATTTGAAGCCAACCAGGGCAGAAAACACCCCAAGAGACTCATCTCCAATTAGCCACTCAAAAACTGGACGTGGCAGTGTGACTTAAGTGGTAGGACTCTGGCCTTGAGTATAAAGAGGCTCAGGGACAGTGCCCAAGCCCCTGAGTTCAAGCCCTGCAACAGACAAAAAAAAAGGGTAAAAATGATAATAAATTAATGATGGTGATGGTGAAGTATTTTGCAAAGGCTCACCCAGTTTGGGGAGGAACTACTTGGAAACCTAAAGTAAGCAATCCTTTGGGTCCAAGGGTCAGTACTACAACAAGCCCTCCCTCAAGGGCTAAGTCTGAATTTGGCCTCTTGGCTAAATTGATAGATAATGGTATTCACTGCATGAATTCCTTTACGTTCTTTGCGGAGTAGGAAACTGAGTTTAGACTTGGGACTGTTAAAGAAAGGTTCTACCTTTCCTTGGGTGTGACCTCAAGTACTTAGTGTGGTTTAGAGAAAAATTCATTTGTTGTCCTGGGGTGGTGCTGGTCTGGGTTTGCTACAACATCTGGAAAACTGACTTCATTAACATGTTTTTGTTTTTTGCCAGTCTTGGGCCTTGAACTCTACCTGGGCACTGTCCTTGAGCTCTTTAGCTCAAGAACACTCTACCACTTCTGCCACAGTGTCACTTCCAGTTTTCTGTTGGGTTATTGGAGATGAGTCTCATGGACTTTTCTGTCCGAGCTGGCTTTGAACTGTGATCCTCAGATCTCAGCCTCCTGAGTAGCTAGGATTATAGGTGTGAGCCACTGGTGCCTGGCTACATGTTTTCTTTCTTTTGAGCCATGTATAACAAAATATCTCAGTTGTTTCCCAGCATTTTATTTTCCTGACATTGTAAGAATGTTACCACTAGAAAGAGAAGTAAGCAACAATGTCATGATTTTCCACTTCTCAGTTTTAGCTATTTATCTACTCTCAGTTGGTCTGATAACCTCTATCCATTCCTCCCCCTCTATATGAATTTGAAGAAAATAGATCTCATATTTCATTTATACATTGAATATGGTTTTTTCCTATTGTAATTATAGTATATTTTTCTTTCTTTTTTTTGGGTCCGGTCGTGGGGCCTGAACTCTGGGCCTGGGCACTGTCCCTCAGCTCTTCAGCTCAAGGCTAGTGCTCTACCACTTGAGCCATAGCGTCACTTCCGGCTTTTTTCTTTTTGCTTATGTGGTGCTGAGGAATCGAACCCAGGGCCTTGAGCATGCAAGCCAAGCGCTCTACCACTGTGCCACCTTCCCAGCCCATATAATTATATTTTTCATCTAAAAATTTTAAAAAGTCTGATATACTCAGATTATTCAAATACATTCAAATATGGGGCTGGGAAGGTGGCTCAGTGGTAGATGCTTGCCTTGCATGCATGAGGCCCTGGGTTCGATTCCTCAGCACCACATAAGCAAAAAGAAAAAAGCTGGAAGTGGCACTGTGGCTCAAGTGGTAGAGCACTAGCCTTGAGCTGAAGAGCTGAAGGACAGTGCCCAGGCCCAGAGTTCAGGCCCCATGACCAGACCCCCGAAAAAAAAAATCAAATACATTCAAATGTTTGACAGTATGCAAAATTCCAGGTATGACTTTTTTTTGCATATTTATTGTTATTTTGAGTCATTGCACAAATAGGTTACAGTTCCATAGATTGTATTAGAAGCACAACGCTTCTTGTTACCCCTTCTTTTTTACATAATATAAATTGAATATAAAGAATGCATTTTCAAATATTCAGAAGTATTGAAAACTCCAATTGTCTCATACCTTTTTTCTTTTTTTAAAAATCTGCTGCTTCTGGGTCTTAAACTCAGGGTCTGAGTGTTATCCTTGAGCTTTTTTCTTCAAGGCTTGTGTTCTACAACTTGAGCCACAGCTTCCTTTTCAGGTTCTTTTTGGAGTTTCACAGTCTTTCCTGCCCTAGTTGACTTCAAATACCATACCTCAGATCTCAGCCTCTTAAATAGCTGAGGTTATAAGCACGAACCAACTGAAGCCCAGCTTAGAAATTTTCTTTATTAGATTCTTTAACAAATGAATGACAGTACATCTTTTTTTAAATTTTATTTTGTAAGTGATAGGCCTTGTGCTTGATAAATGTGTACACTAACATCACCTTACTTCATCGTAATTCACTCTAGTGTCAGTCCCTGTTCTAGACCCTGATATAAACTAGACATGGGGTTTAGTGGTACAATACTTAGTACACACAAGGCTTTGCATTTGAAATCCCCAACACCTGGAATTTGAGGAGAAAGATCTAAAGAGGAGATTGTGACATACACGATGTCTTCTTGCTATTATGGGACAGCAAACAGTAACTACCATGACGCTCATTATATTAGAAGACAGCAGCATATAGGCAAAATAGAAAGCAAAGGCAGAGCCAGCTCTAGGGCTTGAACTCTAGGCCTGGGTGCTGTCCCTGAATTCTTCAGTTCAACGCAAGTGCTCTACTACTTGAACCATAATACCACTTCCAGTTTTCTAGTGGTTAATTGGAGTTTCATGGACTTTCCTTGCCAGGGTTGGCCTTGGACTGCAATCCTCAGATCTTAAGCCTCCTGAGTAGCTAAGATTACAAGTGTGAGCCACTGGCACCCAGCTTGTCTTTTAGCATTTTTTGGTCAAGGCTGGTGCTTTACCAGTTAAGTTACAGTTCTTCATCTGGCTTTTTGGTGGATTATTGGAGATAAGAGTCTCCAGGGCCGGGTGCTGGTAGCTCATGCCTATAATCCTAGCTACTCAGGAGGCCGAGATCTAAGAATCTTGGTTCAAAGCCTGTTGGGGCAGGAAAGTCCTTGAGACTCTTATCTCCAATAAACCACCAGAAAAGCAGAAGTGCCACTGTGGCTCAAGTGGTAGGGCAGCCTTAAGCTGAAGAGCTGAGGATAGCACCCAGGCCCAGAGTTCAAGCCTCATGACCAACAAAACAAAACCTCTGACTTTGCTTCCTGGTCTGGCTTTGATCTCAGCCTCCTAAATAGTGTAGGATTATAATCATGAGCCACTGGCATGCTAAAAATAGACACATTTTAAATGTAGATTTGGATAGTAGGGGAAAAAACAAAGGAGGAGGTACCAATGCTTGTCAGGAAATGTACTCATTGCCTTATTCAAGTAACTGTAACCCCTCTGTACAGTACAATAAAAAAATTTAAATGTAGAAATTTATGACATACTTAAGATTAAAGTATAATAGTTTATGTAATGACAATGGTTAATAGTGAAATAAAATCATTAGTTTGTTTTATACAGAGACTTAGGTTTTAAGAGGACCAGAATCTGTAAACAGGGCCCCTAGGTTCATATGACTCACCTAATTATACAGAAAAAGCAAGTAGCTGGGTGCCAGTGGCTCACAAGTGTATTCCTGTTCGAAGCCAGCCCAGGCAGAAGAGTCCTCATGAGACTCTTATCTCCAATTAACCACTCAAAAACCAGATGTAGAGCTGTGGGGCTCAAGTGGTAGAGCACTAGCTGAGATAAAAGCTCAGTGACAGTACCCAGGAACTACAAGCTGCAGAGCTGGCGTGAGTACACATGTGTGCACACACACACATGCACGCATGCACTGCTTTTTTTTGGTCAGTTGTAAGGCTTGACTCAGAGCCTGCATGCTGTCCCTGAACCTTTTTTTGCTAGGGGTCTACCACTTGAGCCATAGTGCCACTTCTGATGTTTGAGTCACTAATTGGAAAGAAGAGTCTCACTGGGACTTTTCTGCCCAGGCTGGCTTGTAACCACAATCCTCAGATCTCAACCTCAGTAGTTAGGATTACAGGCGTGAGCCGC